TGTCTTACTCCACAAATGAAATTCAGTGGAACCGATTCTTGAAATGGTCAAAAAAATTTTTGATGAATTGAGAAAATTTATCTAAAATATGCGTAAAAAAAACATATATAAATCATATTTAAATCGACAAAGATAAAATTGTATCTCTGTTGCCACAATAACAGAATTGTTACACAACATTACTGCACATAATAATGACAATCAACTTTTTGAATAGAATAATGTGGAATTTATATATATATATATATATATATATATATATATATATATATTATATTATATATTTAAAATTTTTAAATTTTTAATAATAAATCTCTATATTAATTTCTATAAGTTTATATAATATCGACATATAAAAAAGGTTGCACGTATACAAAGAATAATGATTGAATAATGATTGAACAATAATTTAATTGTTGCTACAAACGATTAAAAATACTATGAAATTATGACATAGACAATTTATCATTGTTAATGTATATTTGATTACATTTATCTGCAGTGGTACAAAGTAGTATTCAATATATGTAGTATTAGCCGGATTATTGATTATGACGTTAACGAAATAGAAAGTTGTAACCTTTTCTATTAAAGAATATAAACACGGGATAAAGAAGGACGTGAAAGGTGTTAATAAACTTTCCGTATAACATGACGTAAGCGTAAACTTCCGTCAAATTTTCCTCGCATATATGATCGTCGCGAATATCTCGAAAAATAATAAATACATTCACTAAATATGAATTTATCGGATATGTACTGAGTATGAAATAATATATAATATATCATTTTCCTTAAAAAAATTACAGTTGTATTATTGCAAGCATATATGTGTCCTAAATTTATTCTTTTAATTAATATTTCTGTAAATCAATAATCAAAAAATAATTGCTACACATTTTTTTTCCAACAAATAAAAAACAGCATCGAATTATATTATATAAATATATTAAAAAAAAAAAATCTGATAAACCGAGAAAATTGTACGAAATATTATATACTGTTACATTGATCTTACATATTGATACTGATTAATCAATTCCGGGAGAATTTTTCAAAAAGACTATTTACAAAGGAGTGCAAAACCCATTAGAGAGTTAAAGCTGCCCGCCTGCAGGGAAATACGACGTGGTTTGTACATGGGTTTTCGCGCGAACACGCGAAGAAAATACCACGAACTGTACAAGTAGCACGAAACTGAAAAAAAGCTCGCCCGAGATAGACGAGCTTGCGTGGCTTCGCGCCCAACGGCCGCGCTCTTGCACTCGCGGCAAGTGCACATATGTACGTGCCGAGCGCCAAGTTCCGAGCGCCGGGCGGCCTCTCTCAAGAGGAGACCGTCGTAGGTTAGTACATTGGCTGCACTTTCCGTCTCGATGTATGCACGTATAGTCGCGGTGCTACTCTCCTGTGCGCGCGCGCTCGTCCACGGCGACCGTATGCATGCATTGGTTACGCAAGAATAGCGGCGTGTGTGAGAGACTGCTGACCCACATACGGCAGGGAGCAAGGACCCCGCGCTGGTGTACCGCGCGTGTACGTGTGCGCGCGTGCGTGTGTGTGCGCGCGCGCGCGCGTCGCGAGGTGTATGCGCGCGCGGGTGCATGCACATGCGTGCCTCGCAGCAACGTGGATGCGCTCTGCCGCCTCTCGCTGCTCTAACGTGCCATCTAGCGTCGCTCACGCGTACCGACGCCCGCGCGGCTGATTAAGCGTCGTTCACATCACTTACGCGGCTGACCGCCCCTTGTGAATGGATATTCATACATATATCTGATCCCTTTAGTATAGAATCTTTATTGACCCGATTCTACGGATCTTGTTTGTAATTACTTTTATTTTAAAGATCAAATTATCTTTTTGATTTGACTGCTAATGTATCTTCCAATTTTCTAATTCTTAATTAATTTTTCATTTATAAATAAACTTCTTTAATTAATGTTTAATTTGTGTCCTATGTTGAAATATATTTGAACTAAGTGATAGATATATTGAATTAAGTTATTTAATGATAAGACACATTCAATGATACTGCAAATATTTTATGTTAAATTACTCTATAAAAAAATATACATAAAAAAGACTTTAAATATGCTCTGAGAAACTATGAATAACAATAACAACTAAACTAACTAAATTATTAGACAATTTGCTGAGCGATATTAATTAAACATAAAGCTTACTTATAGTATAGCTATCTCTTGCAATTAAGATTACAATTGAGCGGACTTGTAGGAATAGCTGCAAGAAGTTCTATGGCATGCTAGAATAAGCAACTTTTGAAATGGAGATAGACAATGTTACGAAATATTAATGTCACTCAGATTAGTTGAACAAAGTTTGCACGGTGAAAACAAATAGAAATGCTCTCGTGTCTCGAAGTGTCTACTTTAATGAACTTCTCTTTCCTATATCTTCATCTTGGCAAACAAACGTTCCGCAATATAAATGTGTCAATGATAATATTATAAATGTTATTTGAAATATTATTAAGATTTACAATAAAACAAATGTAGCATATTAAAAAAAGATTATTCTATTAAATAAAAAAATATAAGATTATAATTTTTGATAATAAAATGATATATCAAGTACATTATTAAAATGCAAATGATAATGCCAGTATCATAGACGTAACAAGATTATAAAGAAATACAAGTGTATGAAATTTGAATGCAAAATACTATTCAAATGTAAAATTTGACCGTATTCGCAATATAAATGAGAGTTTGCATTGAGCTTTCCTTCAAGATTCCTTGAATGATATTTTGTTATTGTCTCAATTAACACGAAATGTATGTTACTTCTATTTCTAAGCATAAGTTACTTCTACTTAAGAACGTTAATGAAGATATATCACGTCCAATTTTCCGAGTAAATTCCGGGATTGTTTGAATCTGAAACTCTAAATCAGAAACAGCTTACACTAAAAGTAATGCCTAAAAATGTACTTTGTAATCATTAAATGCAAATGTTTTTTGTAATCATTAAATGTTTTTATAGAAGCGTAATCGAAATTTATCATAGGACCGTCGATTACACATTTTTATATAAAATAATTTAATATTTCAACAAATAAGTTCCATTTAATATAGACTGTAATATGAATAAAAAACTTGCGTATACCGCAAATTTGTATTTTATAAGAATGATATAATCTTTTTTAAAAGCTTTATACGAAACATTATTATGCCAAACAAAATATTATAGATTATAAATGAATATTCGATCATATTTCTGTCCAAAAAATTAAGACTTTTTTATATAAAATTAATCTTTAAAATATTGCTACTCAAAATTGTCTATTATATATTCAAAACAATTCCTCCTACATACTATATGTAATATGATTTTATGAAGAGGAACAATTAAAACGTATAATCAAAATCATCAAACACTCCTCTCTCTTTGACGTCTCTTTTGTGTCTATTTTAGCTACATTATGTAATACTTGTTGCACACGGAATGAACAAATATAATATAAATATGATATAAAGGTCCGAAAAACGGAAGGGAAAAATTACAGTAAGAGATAGAGACAATCCGAACGCGAAATGTACCATAAAGCGCAAATACTGTTGGAATAATGCGAATCCCAATGCTTGCATTTCTCGGAACAAAGAGACGAACGGGGCGGCGCATAAAAATTCGCACGATTGACGCGTACATCATCGCCCTTATTAAAACGACCCGCGGCAGTTAGGTCAGGGCGCTGTCATAAAACCGCTTAGACGTCCGATCTCTCTCTTTCTCTCTCTCTCTCTCTCTCTCCGCACGGCCGTCGGCGCAAATTGTTCGCCGTCCGACCGCGCGAGCTACGATAAGGCGAGCGCGATTTGTTATTATCGCCGGCGTCGCATTATTAAAATGACCCCCGTTTCACCCGTCGTCTCTCTCTCGTCAGATCTAGTCTCGTCTAGCGCAAGACCGAAACGAACACACGCGCTCGTAAAAACTCGAGCTGCAAGCCGATCTCGCTGCGTCAGCGGCCGAAGAAGTGGGGGCACCCGCTGGGGCACCGTGCCACTAATTATTCCATTACGGTACAGTGTACATCGACGGGGGACGGGATCTCCCCGAGAACCCCATAAAAACGAAGACGACGATTTCGCATCGCGGTGAAAACGATCAAACATGTATCGCCATGCGACCGATCCAATTGTACGTTATTGCCGGCTAAAGCGGGGTTAATGGCGAGCTATGCGTATTCTGCTGTAATCGCCACGAACGCGTGCGTCCGTCCGCACACGCACTTTCACGTCGCGGTCCGTTCCCGACCCCGCAATAGCCGATAACTACCCGCTCATACGCGAGAGAGATAACTGCCGATTGCATGCGAGAAGAAACGAATCCGATAGATAGGCAAATTGTGCGGAAGAGAAAATAAAATGTGGACGTTTCCGCCGAGTGCAAATTTTTTTTCCGCATGCTCGAACGATATGGTTCCCGATATGACGGATAGACGTTCAACTCATCGCAAAACCATTTAGCATTTTTGTCGTTATTATATTAAAAGAATATGGGAAAAAGTGATATCATTTTTGATTAAGGTATAATATGATGAAAAAATTAATATATAACTTTTATGATTTTTTTTTGTATCATTTACTCAATTGTTTATTCAATTATTCGCAGTAACTAATTAAATTGTATTTATAGTCTAGACATAGTTAAGAATTCAGTTTCACTTTGTTTTGCATAGTAAAAATGAGATCATTTATTTACTGAATACATATGCGATTAATAAAAACCGATTCATAATTTATTTGATCTCAAACTTAATTTTGAAATAAACACAAAGATTATTTTTACACAGCATATGAAAATATTACTAATTTATTGATGTATCAAATATTTAAATTTACTTAAATTTATGTTATTATTTAAAGTCAGTGTTAATTATTTCCACGAAATTAGAATTATTTATAAATAAATTACATCAACCTGTTACGAGTAATTTTTAGCAAACAAGGCTGATCCTTATCGTTTTCTGCTTCCAGGAATTATGACCCTTCCGAGCAGCCCGTGTGAGATAGACAACATGAGCTTGTTTCAAGACCTCAAGTTGAAAAGGAGAAAGGTCGACTCCCGATGTAGTAGCGACGGTAAGAATATCTCGGAGGTACATTATAGTATCTAGACAAAGCCCCATCTGTGATGAATTAACATTTAATAGAATTAATACTAACTTTAGCGCAGGAAGCTTTTTGCCGGATATAAAAAGTTCTTCCGCAGAATTATCTCGATATCTTTCACATACTTGTAACACATTATTATCTCTTTATGTTTTATTTAACTTATGCATATACATTCATCTTTGAACGAGTATCTCGATTCATAGGGATCGCTCGTAATGAGACAAAAAGAAAAGAGATGCAATCAATAAAACAAGATCATATCTCGTTACACGAATCTCGTATTAAAAAGCGTATAAGATAAAGCAAAATCAAAATAAAATTTTATATAGTGAATAGAAACATGTGAAACGATTATAAAACTTGACACTATTAAAATATTATCAAAATATTATTACGATTGCATACATTCTACGATATACGATAAGATAGTTATTGGATCTTTTCTTAAATATCTTGATATAAAATCAAGTTCTTAAATAAAAATGAATATGATAATATAAATAAGGATAAATTAGGATAAAAGTAATTATTTATTATAAAAATAATTATAATTAACAATTATGAAAATGTCTTTTTATTGACTAAATTTATTAAAATAATTTTGATTTATCTTTTATTTATATTTATAAACACGCATCTACACAAAGAGAATCTAAACTCTATGAGAGAATATCAAAAGATCTTTAACATTGTAAATCACGATCAACTGGAAAGATCAAATTTACAATATATAATTAACGCAATTACGAAAATGTATAATCGAAACTGAATGTTGCATGCGTAATATATTTCATATGTATGAATGGCATAAACATATTAACAAACATCGATCGATATTACATTTTCCCTTATTTTGATCCAACGATTCGTAATATTCCATGCTTTGAAATTTGGAAACAATGAGCAAATATTTATAACTCGTCGAAAAATTAAAATATCTACTTCTAAACCTAATCATTAAAGAGAATATATTGACTGCGTGTAAATGTCGCAATAAAAAAACAACTCGTACTGACTCGTAAAAGACAACTAATAATTTTCCTATAATTTTCCTATAAACCGCGCATAGTACCCTGCATCGATAAATAACCTATAAATAGATATATAAATATTAATCTTGTTAATAAATTCGCTATCCATAATTCATTGATTTCAATCGTCCATATATGTTCAATATCTTCTTAGAAGATGCTTTGTTCTTTCATTCTAAAAATTGAACACTTAGTTTTTTCTGCGACAATAAATATATTAAAGAAGTCATTAACTTGTGATATGAATAGTTAATTATTTGTAGGACATAATTACATTTCAATCACGTCTTCTGGTACTTGATCATGTTTCGATAATACGACACATGAAGTGACACGCGTTGCTATCTGCCAACTCAAAACTGCAAACAATAACACGATGCGCAGCATATAATAATGTACTTGCATATAATAACAACTTTGCATATAATAATGAGCATTACGGCTGTACGTTAGACAGTTTATGAAATATTTAACAAATAAATATATACCAAATATATAGCAATACACCTCTGTTGCTTATATTTCAATCTTATATTTCAATAATTTGTCATTACACATTTTGCATCTTATTAATGAGAGAATCTTTTTAATGGTTTTAATGGTTGATATATGTAAATAAATAAAAATGTACATTACAATTAACGAAGAACTAGATTTCAGACGGAGGATTAATTATTTCAATATTTAAGAAGATTTATTAAATCTGTTATTTAAATAATAAAAATTATCATTGTTTTAATTGAAAAACTATGTAAATTAGTTTGTTATTATTATTTCGAGATTGTTATTCAAGAGAGAAGGGAAATTATATAATGAAAAATCAATAATTATGAGTTCAATAATTTAATCGAATCTCGATTGCAAAGACAGCACAACGGAATATCAAATTAACTCTTAAAGAATTTATTAAATCGTGTCATATTTCAAGACTATTTTTAATCAAGTTTTTCAACAGAAACATAATTATAAATACAAGCTGTTAAAGATTGACTGGAGATATAAGCTTAGCATTTAGATCCGATTCTAATGATTGACATAATCACCACGAGAAAGGATTATATATCATTGTCGAGCTAATTATTGATGTATGGTTGATTTTTTTATATATCAAGATTACTTGAATTGTAAAACTGACTAATGTTCAGGTGTAAAGATTATTTATCACCTGGTAAGAGCGGAATTTGGTACACAATAATATTGATTTTTACAATATATGGTTATAGCGAATGAGAAATTGCTCTAATAGAATGCGATTAATCTTTCGATTTCATAAAGCATAAAAATATGATTGTGATAAATACAAGTAAATATGCATGTGTATTGTTTTTTTTATTAAAAAAAATTGTTATTTCTTAATGCTATTTTTAATATTTGTAGTCAATTAATTACTATTTCTATTATATTTATGCAAATTTATAAACATTTTTAATTATATTTAATTAATAAATAAGTAAAATATATTTAATTAATTTTATTTCTTGTAAAAATAATGATTAATATTTTCGTTATAAAGAATTTGACGCATAAATATATCGCAAAATATATTCTTAAATCAGTATGGTAATAACTCGCATAACTTTTTGAATATATTACATAATTTAAATTTTATATTTGCACATTGATGTTTTACATATTTATAATATATTTAATCACGCGAGAAATTGATAACTATCATAATAGAAATTGGTAATTATGACGATAGAACTAAATAATACACAACCAATTTACTATATCCCTTGTAAAATAACTTTAGCTTAACGGTATTTATATTTTCCTCAGCTGATTTACTGCATATCCCCTTCTCTCTAACCTTATACATTTTTCATTATATCGTATACTAATACGATGCGCCTGCATCATAATCGAAATTGTCATTTTATTGTATCTAAAAGTGACTTGCGCACACAAGACATTATAATATTTTGAAAACAATAACAAAAACTCTTTAAGGATTATAGTAAAAATAATGCTATAGAAACACTATAGCATAATATTGATATATAATTTTTATTACCAGTAAATTATCTTCAGTTAGTCACGTTATATGATAAAAAGAAAATAACAGATAATTCTGTTTTTTTTTACAGCTTTACAGCAATTTAATCTAT